ATTTGAGATGTCTTTGAGATGTTATTTTAAGATGTATTTTGAGATGTTTTGAGATGATAATTTGAGATGTTTTGAGATGATAATTTGAGATGATTTGAGATGTTGTTAACTTGGGTGTTATCATTACATTCATGGTTGTGTCGCATACATTGCATTTTTGAGATGGAGCTTATGCTCGTTGAGATGGCCTGGATTGGCAAATTTTGAGATGAAGGCTATGCCTTGTTGATGCCTCTATTAATTTGCAAATTTTTGAGATGGGAGTTCTGCTCTAATGGTACCACATGCATTTGCATAGTATTGAGTCGCATTATATGATTTCATAAAGAAGTGTATTTTGATGTTGATGAATGTATATTATTGTTGAGATTGTCGTTGATTATGAGATGAGAAGTGGTGATGCTGTTGATCTAATTTAATATATTAATTATCATGCACTTATTATATTTTTAGATATCTCACCCCTTCTGTTTGAATGTTGCCCCTATGTTGGTAACGTGCAGGTAATCGAGAGTGAAGGCTGTATACCTTCAATAGTTCGAGTCGGTGTCATTGCTCTGATTTGTAACACTCAGAGGGATGAACGTTTGCTGATTTTTGATCGTTTATTTTCAGTTGTTGAATTTTAATTTGATTATCATTAAATATGAGATGTTTCAAAAATTGCTGTTTTGTTAGAGATGTTATTAAGAATTCCGCTGCGTAGATGTTGATCTATTTGATTAAAGATGTTATGTTGACGGTTCATCCGATGTTTGAAAAAGTGTTATATATCCACGATGAATGCAATGAATTTGTTAGAAGAATTTGTGACGTCCCGATTCATTTGTATGATTGAAATTTTATAACTCTGATTTATTTTGCATAATTGTTTGGGGTAGAATTGGGGTGTTACAAAACTTCTGACATATTTACCTATTTTTAATTTTCTGAAGGATAATAAGTGCTTATGGATGGATGTGTTGTTTATTCAATCTCCATTTCTTCAGATGACTTTCTTTGAGACCTATAACTTCGATTCTTCAAGTTTCAGATTTTGGAACATAAGATTTCTTTCCATTATGAGTTGTCAACATCCAAAGTCCAAGTATCATGACTTGTGTCTTCACATTTCTATTTAACAGATCTGCAACATACATTATTTTAATTTTTGGTACCCACATTCTTTTGGGTCCATTTGGGTTAGTTTTCATCATCAGAATCTTCTTCCTCTTCTGATTTGAGAGCTTTGAGTTTTCCAGTAAATGGGAACCATCTTTTGATAAGATGTTCCAAGAACTCAAGATTGTGTAGCACTCCATGGTTAAAAGTGTTCCCCAAAAGATGAGGAGAAGAGAAAACCTCTCACAGCAGTAAATGCAAGATTATTGACATCATCATCAGAGCTTCCATGACCTGGCTCATCTGAGTCTTCAATCGATTATCTTCCTTCCTGAATAATCGCCGACCATAGGCCAAGGCTTGCATGAATACCATAATCAATCCTATTGGGATCTTCATATCGGTCAATACCCCACAGAGTCATCCCATACTGATCTCCGAACATGTGAAGCAAGAAATCAAGTTGAACCTCTGAGGAGAGCACCAGGTCTGAATAAGAATCCCCAATCTCCAGGTACTTGTCATGAATGCATGAGTATGCATGGGGTGTATGAATGAATGCCATGTCATGCTCTGTCGTTTCCAAGGAATTTACATGCTTTGATTTTGATTTTACCCAAGTAAGGGATGGAAAAGTTTAGCACAAGACTTACAAATATGATTATCTGGAAATAACAAAACATGTATGTTAAGCATGTGTTCACCATGTTATGTATGAAATAACATGGCATGAAATAACATGGGATCAAAGTTCCATCACTTCTGAATATGATTGCGACACTATTTTTGAACCATATGAATATCATCAAATCAAAGGTCTGACATAACTTCAACACCTACAAGAACCAAGTACCCTGTAGATTGTCAATTGTACGGGATCAAGGCTTCTGGAACACCAGATACTGTTGAGCACTTTCTGAACATATTGGGAATACCAAGATCGAAGGCTTGAATGAACTTACAAATATACAAATTAGGAACTCAAAATAAATCTGAGAACCATACAGTCACCAATAGAATACCATCTGAATAAGTCATTGACAGAAACCCAGAACATAACCATTAGAACCAATAGTCACTGTCTGAGCATAGCCACCAACTGTACCTGTGATAATAATTCCCTCCCCACTCACAGGTGAAAACTAGGTCAGGGTAAGGCAATGGTGACTCAAAATCATAGGTTCGCTTGAGAGTACTATCGTCGTACACCTACGTGATAATGATAACACCTCATTAAAACCTCATATGAGCATGGACGACATAGCCGTCTAGGGTAATATACATCCCCTATCCATCGTGTTCCACTCTATTCCTAAGGTTCCTATGGTTGTCACTTGGCCTGGGTATTGGACCTTTTACCTCTTATAACACTCACCCAACAAGAAGCAGATCCAATACAACAGTAGTATATGGAAAACAGTAAAATGCAATGCACACATATGCTCAGGTAATCATGTATGAATGAATAAACATAAAGCATAAAAATAAACACCCAAAGAAAGGAAACAAGAGCTAAGAGTGACTCCGGGATGGACCAGTAATTGGTCGACCTATCCCCAGTGAAGTCGTCAGCTGAAACAACCGACTGAAAATCATCAAACAATGAAGTCGCCATCAAACGTATTTTATCCCACATGAAGGGAAAGGTAAACATCGAGAAAACCTGAGAAGGGAGAAGTCACGGTCTTGCGACCGAGAGATCGGGTAAGGGAGTCTATTACGCGAGGGGAAGGTATTAGCACCCCACACGCTCATAGTACTCTATGGTATCCACTCTTGTTGTCTATGTTATGGGCGTGTTTAATCTATGTTTATTGTTTACTACTGCTAAAGGGAGAATGCATGCAAAAGAAATGAGAAAAGAATGTAGGAAAAATAAAAGTTGTACTCGCTTGGGCCCTACCCCAATGCCTACGTATCCTTTTTGAGGAATCAGAGCTACCGTAGTTCGACTCACATGTTTTTGTTTGTTTGGTGTTTTTCATGGACGATGTTAATTCCGCCTTCTGCCGCAGCTCGACCTTTGGAGACTTATGCGTTGGCACAAAATTAAATTAATCATGTCCTTACCTGAAAAGGGTTTTTAGAGAAAAGGTGCTTGGGCGCACAAAAAGGTTTGAATTAGTTTGTGTTTTTGTTACCTTGAAAAAGGGTTTAAGTGAGATTAGCATGTTTTTGATTTACTAAGAAAAAAATTTTAGTTTTAGACGCAAAGATGCAAAAGGGGGAAGAAAATGAGTCTAAGGGAGACTAGCCTATTTCTAGCCTAATTTTATCATACAATGGTAGCCCTAAGTCAAGGATGAAAGGGAAATATTTACCTAATGTTAGCATGCATGGTTTACAACCTAATGTCTAACTTGCATCCAATAGGAACAAGCACGTCCTAAGGGAACATGGTATGTACAAGGATTAAGAAAACAAGCTTGAAGAAGCACACACATAAAAGAGTAAGGAAAATAATAGAAATGATTTAGCCAAGGGGAGCATATCACCCGAGACAAACAAGTGAGAGTGAGATAAAAAAATAAAAATGTGATGTCCAAAGCGACTAAACACGTAACCAAGATATAGGAGATCGAGACAGGCGACAAAAGGAGATACGAACGATCACGGAGTATCAGCATTGGCCAAGGATAATTCCTGACAAAGCGTGGGGGTTCGATTACAGAACCCTTCCCCATTTGACGACTCTATATACAAGAGCAGGCATAACTCTGAAGCTTCGCGGTGCGTCACGAGCTAAGGATGACATGGACGAAATTGCGGGGGTCGATTGCTAACCCTCCCCGCTCGCCTCCTTTTGAGGACTTCAATAAGGGATAGGGGAATAATGCAAACACAAATATAAACACACCTGCATAATACCTACTCAAAGGCATGGGTTTAAACAAACCACACACAAGTAGCAAACAAAATGCACACAATGAGAAATTTCCCTAAACGGGTCTTTAAATAAACCAGAGGGGTTCCTGACATGATTAGCAACGGAGACCTCTGTCATACATCTCTATCCTACTTCTAATGGCATCAGAAAGCAGTAAAGCCCTACTTCTCATGATATCTAGAAAAGCAGTAAAGAAGTATGGTAAAGCACAAAAATAAGGAATAAAATGAAGTTACGATGATACCGAATGCAAAAGGTTCGTTGCCTCTTCATAACCATGCAAGAAATAAGAAAACTCTACCGAAAGCTTCCTCGAATGATCAAAAAATTAATCTCCAAGTATTCCATGTTGTGAAAATTTCGTCGACATTCTATCACAAAATCTCGGCTAAAAATGACAACAAAAATGATTACCAAACATAAAAGTAATAATAAAAAATTCTAATAAAACTCTAAAGAGAAAACCTAAGAACTCTAAAATATTCTCTCATTTTTTTTGGATTTTTCACATAAGGAATATATAAAAAAAAATCAAATTCTATTCTAATATATTCCTAATTAGCATTTTTTATTATCTCCAAAAATTCACTAATCCTATTAGCAAAAAAATTTGATAAAAAGGAATTAAAGAATAACCTAAAGACTATGAACAAAGGGGGTGTAAAATCAGGGTCAAGTGTGATGGATCAGTAATAATGTCATGAAGCCCAATCTGTTTAATCCAATAGCTCCTTTTTTGTATTCACAAGACAATAACTCCAAAAAGTGGCGACATGGGCTTATTTCTGGGTCAAAACCTATTAGAAACAATCCAACTATACATCTAACAAATATTCATTAACAACTTATTGTTAATTGATCTACAAAAAATAATAAAAAAATAATTAACAGTAGAGTTGAAAGAGAGGAATGGATACGCTGCCGTTTAGGCCAAAGGATAGGGTTCCAGCAATTGAGACGATTTAACTTCTCCTTCTAACGTGATCCACAATTTCTCATCTCTAACAATCGAATGCGGTGGTTTCCTCTTTATCTCTTCTCTAATTCAACTCGTCCGTCGTGGATGCACTCTCGTCTTTCTTCTCCGCTGCTCATACCGAACAAAGCGCCATTGAGACATCTTCATCGAAACATCACCGTCGTATCGTCGTTCATTATTTCGATACCATTTCTGTCCTCATCTCAGAAATTCTATCTCAATCTTCTTCACAAAACTCTATCGCTTGCTTCCATGATTAACCTTCATCTCAATTTAGTTTTGCTTCTCTTATCAGATTTGATCACACCTTCGCGATCTTCGTCTTCTTGCGGATTTTATATGATGCAATATTATTACTGCGAGTGACGTACTGCGTTGCAATGATGTTGATTGTTGTAGTTTCTTTCGCTATTGAAGATGCGTGTGATTCTGATTCAGATTCGATGTTGTTGCAGTGCTGATGTTGATGTAGAGAGATAATGAGTTCTTCTTCAGATTTCTGTGAACGAATCTCCCTTTTTCATTGAGAAGATTCAAGGTTCATAGAAAAAATGGAAGATTGAAGATGATGAACCTATGTTGAGGATTGAAGAATGGTCTAGTGAGTTTTTTACATTCTTATTCTCTTCGTCTTCTTTCCTCCAAACAATTCTTATTCTTTTTGTTGATTCTGTTGCGAGGTTGTTATGATGAACGATGAAGAGGATTATGGAAGATGAAAAGGAATTGTTGGAAACGCTGATGCTGATTATTGAAGAAGATTACTGAGGAAATGGTGTTGGTGATGGAGATCCAGAAAGGTTGCAGGAATTAAGAGTTATGCATTTTGCAGAAGATGAAAGTTATGTTGAAGGTGGTTGATTGAAGATGTAGTTCCTGAGAGGTGTAGAAGACTTCTGAGATCTTTTTTAGAGACTGCAGAGAGAGAATCGAGATTTCTTTTGGTGAATTTTCTTGGTTGAATAATTATCTGTATGAAAAAATGATGGTTAATCTCCTCTTCCTCCTCTGCATTCTGTTATCTGTTATCCCTTTTTGTTGAATTTTTGTATGTTGTATATAAGTAACTCATGAATTCCTCTTTCTTCTCTTCTGAATTCCGTTGAGAAACTGGTTAGAAGTTTGTTGAATGAGTTAGAAAAAGTTATGGGTTATGTTAGGGAATTTACTTTTTGGCAGTTAGATAAGCTAACTGTTAGTTTTTTTGCTAGGGGCTGTTATATGGTTATGACAGTTAGGAGTTTAGAAGATATTAGAGATTTGGTTGGGAATTCTGTTTAGGGGATGTTAGTTAGTGTTGGAAATCTTGGAATCTTGGAATGATGATAACTTGGATTGAGAATTGGAATGATTCATTGACATTAAATGGGCAATAAATGAGCACATGAATCAACTAGTTTGTGAGTGAATTTGAAAGGATTCATTTTAGTCCCACATTGGAGGGAACACAACTTCTAGTAGTGCATAAATACTCCAACTTGGACACTTGGGTTGGGCCCCAAGGGGCACCCCAATTTTGTTAAGGAGTGAGGACACACCACTAAGTCATCTAGACACACGCGCGTGCGCCGCCGGCCGGCTCGGTTCGGTTCGGTCTAGATTTTGGTGAAAAATTAATTATTAATGATTATTAATAATTAATTAATTCGGTGGAATTAATTAGCATTAATTAATTAAAAATAGTGGAAATTAATTAATATTTAATATTAATTAATTACGGAATTAGTGACGTGTCAATTACTTGCCTTCCAAGAGTCAAAACGCATGACTGTCTGACCAAGCAATAACGGTCACTTTTGACTGGGCCAATTCCACGTTCTTCCTACTTTTTCGAACCGTTTTGTTGGATCCGTGCTTATTTCATTCGAAATAACTCCAGAATTCCATATCTCGAATTCTCTCTTCTCTCTCTCTACTCTGCTTCATCTCAAGTTTTTTTTTCTTTTCTGTTTTTTCGACTGCTTCTTGCCAGATACTACGAGTGGTTTCTACACCATCAGAAGGTGTTATTCATCGAACGATTTATCACAGTGCAACTGATAATCGTATTTTATTCGAACGGGCTGTTTTATCCTGGAGACTTCGCCTATTATCGACTGCCTTGCACTTTGTTGGCATCCGACGAAACGTCTTAAAGAAAGCGTACTGAACCGCGACTCGACCCGATAAAATTCTCAGTGGCTATTCTTGTTTTCACTAATCCGTGCTCAACAGTTACAGTTGTTATGAGATTTTCTGTTATGGACAATTAGGTTTTGGTTAGAGGCTAAAGCGGTTAGGATATGGTTGGAGGTTGGTTAGAGGAAGTTTTGTTGAATTGTTAGTCTTGTTAGGATAGAAATTGTTAGTTAGTTTTGAATAGGGAGAAGAAATTTTCTAAACTGTGATGTTAATTGGTTTTCTGCTTTGGACAAGGCTTCCCATTTGTTGATGAAAATTTCTAAACTGATGCAGAATTGGTCATGTATGCAGGACTATGCGAATCAGGGAAGCAGGTTGCTTATTTGGTGCAACAATTTTGTGACTGATTGGATTTTGGTGATTGAATTGTACAGGGCTGTCTTGACATGATTCAATTGGCTCTTGGAGCTTGGGGAAAACTTTTGAAGAGAGCAAGAGAAGGTTAAATCATGAAGATGAAATGAAACAGCTTAAAGACTTGAAGAATAGGTTTAGGATTAGGCTCAGAACCGAAATTTTTGTGTAATTGTGAATGTAATTGGATGGAACTTAGATGCTGTATGTATTTGAAATTTAACTTTGTGATCTGAACTTGAATGAACTACCATGCTTTGAAATAGTTTTTTATAATGGAGACTTTGATTTCAAATTTGAATTACTTTCCCTCCATTATGCTTGTAACTTGAATGAAACAATCATAAATTTAAATGGAACTTTGGCCAAAAGTTAACTTTCCCAAATTGACGTTGAACTTTATCATGGGACACCTCGCTTCAAAACTTGAATCCAATTTGATATCTCACAAAGAATTGAATCCGAATCCATTTATATGTCATGCCTAGATTTGAATAATGGAAGATGAATTAAGTGAACTTGAAGATGGCAACTTGAACTACATGAATCTTCCAATATTATCTTGAATCAACCATTGACAAATCATGAAATTGAGATCTTGAACCAATATTAATCTTGAGCACAATTAGAAGTTTTAATGAATCCAAATTGGAATCCCATTTCTATTGAAATCCTAGTTAACTTGTAATTGAAGCAACAAGTGTTTGAAATAATGATGATGTTTTGAACTCAATGAACTCACAAATTCATCTTCTGTACCATGGCTTGCATTTTCCAATCCAATCCACACTATATCTTAACTTTATGGATAACAACAATGCCTTGAGGGCGCCTTGAAGTATATAAAGAAATGTAATATGAAGCTCAATGAACCTCAGTCGACAATGTGATATGGTGGGAAAACTGACTTGGATGTTTTGTATTTTATCGCAAATGTTGTGGTTAGCAAGAGTCGCCACCGACTTTTCTTTTATCTAAAAGGAAAGGCTGAAAAGAACAGGAAAGACCTTTAAGATTTATTTTTTGAGTTCGGGGGGTAGATTATGAAAAGGGAAGGTATTAGCACCCTTTTCATCCATAGTTATCTATGGGATCTTAGTTGCTTGTTAGATCACTTGCTTTTGTTTGAAAATGTACTTTGTGCGGTTTTTGAAAAGGCGCCATCGTTTAGGAAATCTTTGTTAAAGTTTTCGTTCGTAAGAACGTATATAAAGTGTTTGACTTTTGAAAATATTTCATGTTTGGAAAATGTTTTGAAAGTGTTTGGTGTTTGTTTTGAGAATAAGAAAGGATGTTTGATTTGAAAATGAGCAAGCAACTAGGAACAATCTACCTACTTAAAAGTCTTTGTTCATTTCTTCTTTTCCTTTGATATTGATATCTTACTATTGATTGGTAAGAAGCCTTATCTTTGGAAATAAAGGGATGGCGTGGGTCATCGTATAGCCATGATAGCAATGTTGTGAGATATATTAGAATTTCTCTTTGAGGGACTAAGATCATTTTGAAAGGCAACATTGATAGCGTCATTGAGGGGCTATGATCTTGTATTTTTGATTGCTTTTGCTAAGATATCCCACATGCATAACATGGCCATTTTTTGTAAGGCAACAAAGTGGAATTACCCTAAGGGTATAAGTGTGCAAGTGTGTTTGATTTACATGCTTTTCTTGTCTTGAATTAGGGTTTTCTAATTGTTGATTTTAATCTTTCCATACAAACCCTAATTACTAGCATTTATATAAAGCGATAAATTGGGGAAATTAAAAATACTAAGCTATTACATCATTTAGGGGAGGGGGTGTACAAATTTACAAATGGGGATTGAAAGAAAATTAAAACTAATTAACTATGATAACCATATTGAGTAATGTACAAGAATTGAAAATAAAATAATGTACAAGGAGATAAATGGAAAAGAAATGATTTTTGTTTGGTTTTCATGAAAGGGTTTTAACCTAATAACTTAAAAGGAAAAGAAATATTTGATTAAAGATAAATAAAATTAAACCTGAATTAATAAGAAAAGAAAATAGGTTAAAAAGTATTTTTTAGGGTTTTCATGAAAAAGGTTTTAACTTAATGAAAATAAAATGAAAATTAATTAATTAAAAGAAACCTAAATTCTAAGTTAATTTTAATTTAAAAGAAAATAATATAATAATTAAACCATAGTCTAAATATTTATTGATTAAGAAAAAGAAATTAATTTATTAAAAGAAAATGTTTTTTGGTCTTTGTGTTTTATGAAGAAATAAAATATAAATGAGCATTTTTTAAATATGCAAATAAATAAATAAAATATTTTTGGATTTTTTATTAATAAAAATAATAATGATAATAATAATAATAGTAATAAGAATAATAAAAGAAACTGAAATAAAATAAAAAATAAAATAATAAAAGAAAATAAATGGGCCAGGTGTGCAAAAGTAAACAGGGGTTAGCAAAAGCAAAAATGGAAGGCCCATCTGTTTGGAGACCCAATGCCTGTAGCTGAAACAAAAAAAAGAGATAAAAATGTTGAAAAATGAGAAATGGTAGCGCTGGATGTTGAACCCATGCCCTCCAACACAAATGCGCGCTACCTTTTCCACTAGGGGGGCTGTACATCCATTAACTTAACTGAAATAATAAATACATAATACAAAACAATTTCCAGAAATGAACTTCATCTTCAACCTCCAGCAATAGATCCTGTAACTTCACCATTTCTAAAAAAAAAAAAGAAATATGCAAACATGAAAGTTGCTCCATTTTTCCATACGAATCCAACCACGTAAACAACTAAAGCTATAAATCAAAGATGAATCATAATTTATAAAAGTACCAAATTTTGACCTAATTATTTTAGGAAGTTCAACCTCAAAATTCTCACTACTCAAGCAATATAAATGAGATCTATAGACATGTATAGTTTAAGGGCAATGATGTCTACATTTTAT